GATCCACGATCATGGTTCGGGATTGAAAACATCGCGAGAAGAGAAAGTAACTGTGTTTTTTTGTACGTTTCGTATGAAGATCGGCAAGTTCTTCTCTGGGTGTTGAAAGCAAATGGAGACATTTTCTTTCGAAGAACAGACGAAGTGAAAATAGACACTCTTATTGCTGCACAAGTTTGCGAAGTGGAGGGAGTCTTCAAAAAGAGCGCCGAATGCTTTGGTGTTTTACCCGAAGGGAACTGCGAAGACCGATCGCTGAATGACAACGTGACAACATCTCTTCATGAAGAGAGCCAAGCAAATTTGCGAGGTGACGAAACCAAAGATACCGGAAGAAGTCATCATTTGTGCTACGAATGGATCGTCGCACCTGTGGTAGATTTACTCACAGAGCCTGAAATCATCATTGTACCGGATCGTTTTTTGTACCGAGTCCCATTTGCTGCCTTGCGTGATGAACAAGCCGACAAGTATTTATCGGAGAAGTACAGAATACGCATCGTCCCTTCACTGACAACTATCCGGCTCATTCAAGAATGTCCAGGAGACTATCACAGTCAAACTGGTGGACTGGTTGTGGGTGATCCTACGGTTGGCAAAGTGCAATATAATGGACGTCTTATTGACATTACACCATTGTTTTATGCAAGTAAGGAAGCAGAGATGGTTGGTCAGCTGCTGGGTGTTCAGCCTATATTGGGAAGTCGCGCAACAAAGCAGGCGGTTCTTCAAGCAATACCTTCAGTGAGTCTGATACATCTTGCCGCACATGGAAATCCTGAAAGAGGAGAGATTGCCCTCTCTCCTCAATGTACTATTAACCGTACCCCACAAGAGGAAGACTACCTCCTGACAATGTCCGACATTGAAGGAGTTCAAGTGCGAGCTAAACTGGTAGTACTCAGCTGTTGTCACAGTGGGCGTGGATTGATTAAAAAAGAAGGAGTTATTGGAATCGCTCGAGCATTCCTAGCATCTGGTGCACGTTCAGTGTTGGTAGCATCGTGGGCTATAGAAGACAAAGCAACGGCGAAGCTCATGAAACATTTCTATAAACACCTTGTGCGTGGAGAAAGTGCCAGTGAATCTCTTCACCAGGCCGTTCAATGGTTGAGAAGTAATGGATTTTCCAAACCTTCCCAATGGGCTCCGTTTGTGTTGATGGGGGATAACGTGACATTTGATTTGAAGAAAAAAGGGTAGGTCTGATTAGAATGAGCAATTTTCTACGATAAACCGATCAGCACACTTAACTTATTCACTTCACTCAGTTGTCGTAATTTTTTTGTTTGTTTTTGTCTTTGTCTTTCATCCATAAAATGCCAGGAAAAAGAACTTGATTTTATCTAGCGCTCGGAGCCAGAATTTTTTCACAGAAGGCTTTCTAAAGTTGGCTTTGAATTTGCGTTTCTTTTGTATGCAATACATACTCCGAAATAATTAGTGAAAGTCGATGCGATACTACACGTTATGACGATGAAGGTAACTTGAGAAGCTGAAAAGTTAACTTTATTTGTGAAAAATCAACAAAATAACAATAAATTGACAATCTTAAAGTCACTTTCGTATCAAGCATGGTATGTTCGACAAGTTTGGACAATCATAGCCAATGGAATTGAAGAAGAAAGTAATTTCTTTGATTGGAGATCTGTTCCGTTTACTTTAAAGCTGAAATAGTGACAAATTTATAATGTTTTTTCAGGAAAGAAGGACTCGAGGAGGACAACAACGAGGCGGAGAAGAAACAGAGTGACTACTGATCATACACAAAGACTCTTCTTCCTAAACATTGTCGTTCAATGGACACTGGTATTACTTTGCGAAGACATTTTTAACTTTTTTTCAGTCAAGTAGTAGATTTTGCGTGCTTTCGTGATGATGGTGATAATGAAACCTGCAACTAAGTCGTTCGATCTATTAAGTATACTATCAAGGGATCTACAATAAATTGGGATGGGAAAACTGAACGCAGGAAATTAGCTTAATGTATGAAAATGTGAGAATGTGGCAAAGTTTCGTCAGAACTCAAAGTTAATCCTTGATTTAAATCATTATAATTCTGTCTTCAATTCTCCCGCTGCACGCGCACGTGATTATTAAAGAGTGATTAAGACTTTTCACAGGTGCAGGAAATGATAACATAACAAACTAACGGAAAATGGAACAAAAAGAAACGAGATACTGAAGAAACAATCAAATAGAAAAGAGGAGGTAGTAATGTAAAAATCAGACAGAGAAGAGAAAAATGGTTGAGAATTACCGAAAAAATCAAACATTGTTGGGAGCAGGGCGCTACATATTAATCTAAAAGTTAAATGGAGAAGAGAACACACAGAGTGCAATATACTAAAAGAAAAGTATGAACAAGTAGAGAAGAAGAGAAACGGTGAGCGAATTATTGAGATAAAATTAGGAGAAAACATTGCGCGAGATACTAACACCAAACAGAAAGGTGCAAACAGTTCGTAGGATATGAACGTGACAATCAGCCAGAATAAACCCTTTAACTCCCAAGACCTCACTGGTAATTCTCCCTATTGTCTGCCGTAAAATACTCATGATTTCAATTTGGAGAATTTGGTATTGGATCAACTTGTAGTTCTCTAATTGAGTTTTCTTCTTTATTCTCCTCACTTGTCTGCTTGATTCTGTGTTGATATTGTAAGGAGAAATTCTGTCTTGGTCACTCATAGGAATTAAAGGGTTAAGGAAAAGAACAGAGGGCTAGATTCAAATATGGGAAACAAATTTAAGTCGAAACAAACAATAAGGTAGATATTAACTTGGAAATCAAACAGAGACGAGAAAAGCATTGTGCAAGATTTGAATGAAATATTTAATCGGAGGAGAGAACGAGCTATGCACAAGATTCAACTAAACAAAAATACCAAACATAGCAGAGAAAAAAAAACAGTGCTCCATATAATCGCAACAAACAAAGTTAAAAGAAGAAACAGTGGACTGGACAAACAGTAAAATCATAGGCATGCAATGCATGCAAGAGTTAATTTTTTGGCTGGGTGAGTTGAGGTGGGACACTGTGTAACTATGTTTTCATTTTTGTAAAAGAAAAAAAGCCTCAACCTCAAAAAGAACAAAAATAACGCATTAGTTTAGTTAAAAGAAAGGAAAAAAAGTGCCTATTTTTCTGAAATAAATTCACACGTAGTTATTTCGTGGTCCATTGTCTATGTGGTCTGAGTTATTAGAAACAAAAATAAACTTACTTTAGCTTAAGAGAGAGGGGGAGATAGAGGGGGAGAGAAAATTTATTTTTATTAACCACTTTTTTCGGTCCATACAACTTGATTATGGGGGAACTTTTTAGTTCCTATATTTTGCCCAAACTTCAAGATCGTAGCTCATTACTGTTCCTAATAATATACATGAAAAAATTACTCAGTTCTGATTGGTTAAGATAAACGCAGTTTTCAGTTAATTCAGAGCAAAGAAGTAACAAACCAGAATTCCGATTGGTCAATAATCAAAGAAACTCACAGATAGCCAATCAAATGCGAGCCTCGGGTGTCGCAACATTTGGATACGCTGAAAATTTGCGAGCGAAACAATGGCCGGCGTTTCAAGTAGGTTTTCTTTCGCCACCGCAACAACAATACAGTAGCTGAAAAACAGCTCTAACAACGAAAACACTTTAAAAAGCACTACTCTTTGGCTATCGGTTTGGAAAAAGTGGTGTCTAGAGAACGGAATCGCCGAGGAAATTGAAAATTTCGAGCAGACTCAGCTTAACACTTTGCCCGAGCGATACTACGCCGAAATTAAAAGCAAACATGATTAAACATCGCAAACGGCGATTCCATTTCATCGAAAGTGATTCGGACACAAAAAAGTCTTTGAATTGTTTAGCCGAACTCTGAACTTTTTGTGCCCTAAAGATGTGAAAATATCATTGTATATTATTTTTTTTATCGTACGCGGTTGTTTTGACCGAACGCAAGGTTTGAATAAGTTATTTTTTCACTTGATGCGCGCGCTTTGCTTCTCCACAATTATGATAAGCTATCTCATATTCTTTCATGCATGTTATTAATACGTAATCACATGATATTTCTCGTGCAATTTGCAATAAGTAAGCACTCACTTAGCGAGTGACCAATTCACATCTACGTATTGACAAACGGCAGTCGAACCCCATGGAAGACATCTAAATGTCCACATTTATTCTCTGATGAGACTAAGAGCACATTTGAAAGTTCGGAGTGTCCGACATATCTCCAGCCTTCTTCTCAGATAACGCTCAGGTCCAAACGTTCCCTTAAAATGAAATAATACAAAGTTTATGTTCTTGGGCATAACTATGTTTTGCGCCCGACTCAGAGTCATTTTAGCCCTTTCCGTCAGGCGAAGGTTATAATGACTCTGAGAAGGGCCCAAAACCATAATCATGCTTCAGAACATAAATTGCTTTACTATCATCTATACTTTTGGAGGGTATTGGGGAAATAAAAACCGAAACAATGGGGAAAAAGTCAGAAGGGTGGAGAGGGGATTCCGGATGGAGTGGGTCAATAGTATTCTGGTCATCCCCCCCCCCTCTGCCTCCTCTGCTCTTCACTGCAGGCTAAGAATGGCAGAGCGTTACAAGACATTGCAAGGAAAGGCTATACGTGGAAAGCCCACGAAAGAAGAACTGGGGTATGCAAGGTTCCACAGTTCACTGCGCAGATGAATCAATCCAGGGGTATTCAGGTGAGATTCTTTGAATAATCTGGAGGCCCAAATCACCGGAATAGACCGAAGTTAGGACGATAGAATATGGAATTCTTTGTGACATTCTTGCTAAATTTAGCCGGTTTTTAGACCTATGCTCTGCAGGCTTTTAGACCCCGACAAAGAGGACTGGAGACTGCTTACCCTTTGCATGTGATTGGTCGATGTCTTGGGACACCAAAGTTTAAAGGTGAAAGAGACGACTGATTCCTTTCGATTAAAGCCTCCATTTCTTTCAAACGTTTTTAAACTTTTATTTCGATAGATTGATGGAAGCTAGTGAGTTAGAATGCTGTTTGACAGTGGAAAACCTCAATTCCAATGGTGTGGTCACGAAACGGCCAACCTTCAAGAGTATTACAGTTGTCTTGGGTCGAGATGAATTTCGCGACATCGTCAGTAGTCAATCTCCGTTGGGAAAGACTTTTCTTTTGAAGGAATTAACCATTCACAAACGGTTTTTACAAGAAGGGAAGGCTACCATCAAACCTCTAACACAGAAGATTCAAATAATGTTTCGAAATTGTCCACCGAATCAGCTCGCGACGTTTTTAACATGTCTGTCATTGAAACTTGCTCAAAGTAAACAAAATGGAATTGCAAGTAACAGAAGACGGCTTCTCAGTGATAAAGTGCGGTCGTTTGAAAACATAAGCCCTCTTACAGATAAGGATTTCACAGTGGGCTGCAAGAAAAGACCTCTGCAAGATAAGAACGGTGTGACACCGAAGCTATTTAAAACTACAGGTAAAGAAAGCGATTCGAATTGTGGAGACGACGAACACAGTGGACCGGCAAGAAGACGTCTCAGCTCTTTTCAAATGAATCTTATACCTGAACAAATGGCAGTGATAAACGCCATAAGAGCTGGAAAGAGTGTGTTTTTTACTGGTAGTGCAAGAACTGGCAAGTCATATCTCTTGAAACGTTTGATAACAATGTTACCACCACAGAGTATCTTTATAACTGCAAGTAGCAGCAACCGCTTGTCACATTGATGGGACTACACTTCATGTGTGTGTGTGCGCGTGCGCGTGTGTGTGTGGGGGAAGGGGGGGGGGGAAGGGGTACGGCAACGCGTAGGCTACTGGGAACAAGGTTGACCCTTCAAATGTTATTATAATTTGTTTCCATTGTCCGGGTGGCCTTATATGAGTGTAAATAAATTGCACACTTCACCATAATGAACCACAACAAAAGCAAGATTGGTATTAGAAATAATCTGCGGTGTATGTCACTAAGTCCATGTGAAATAGATATAATATCATACGTTAGGGACTGAAAAAAGTGCAGCAGTATCTTGGCTATGACACTGGAGGCCAAATCTGTGCTCCCAGCGACGTACAAAGAAATTATTCATAGCCTCGGCTTTGTCATGAATGCATGATCAACAATAATTTTACCTGGAGCATTTCAGTTTAGTGGACCAATACTACTACGTCTCTTTTTGTGAGTGTTTTTTTTTTTAATTTATCAAAGTCCTTGCTATTTCTTGTTTTTCTGAATTCTTGCTTCTGATTCTGTTATAAGTTTAGTAACTTCATTCCTCAGTTTGCGATTAGTTTTCAGCTGGAATGACAAGCAGCGTAAAGGCTGTGATCAATCCAGAACTGCGAAATATCCTTCTGAATGAAGGTCTAATGCAGGGATTTCGGCTCTTACTTGGTGTAGAAGACACAGTATACGTCACACTATTGTTTTCATTGCTTTTTTATTCCCAGATGTGATGAAATTCTATTGTGACGTATACTGCGTCTTCTACACCAAATAAGAAACAGGATTTCAATAACATTCGTAGACACTGAATTTATGACGGTGAGACAACACATTTCTTTTCCACGCTCGATTACGTTCAAATCTACAAAGGGAGCACATTTCTGTGATTTTTATACTTGTTTTTTTTCTCCTTCGGGCACTCGAATAAATAACAATTGCTAAAAAATTTAATCTTATTTGGTGCTTGGAAGGTCTTCACGCGTGTTGCCGCGCATTTGCGCGTGTAGCATGACTCACTTTGGGTCACAAACGAAAAAACACTGGGATCTAGTAAAAAGTGAACACAATATGGCGGCCTTTCTGAGTTACAACGCCAGTTGAAGATGGAAAGAACTGCCCAGTCTGGTACCACAACAGGAGTAAAAATGGCAGTTAATCGATCTCGTACCTTCCATTTTATGTTACCTGCTGTTTATGGTGCTTGTATGGAAAATGTGACTTGCAAAGCGGCTGGAAAACTTTCCAAAGGAGACCACGTGAGACAGTCAGTCAAATACCAGAGGTGAGGAAGTGCTTGACGGGCACATTGAATCGTTTATCTTTGCTTCCTCTTATTTTAAGCTGCGAAGCAAGCCTGTGATCCTGTCTGATTATTCTGAAATTCTGATCGTTTTATACACAGTTTTACGGGATATTCAAATACTGTACTCCGCCAAGGAGCCGAGTTTGCTTTAAAAGGTTCTAAACCACAAAACAAAACACCAAACAATGTTTGGGACAAAGGCAGCCTTTTAAATTACAAATCACTAATTTACTGATGCTTTCTCAAATACACGACTCCTATAATGATACAACCAAGCTTATAACAAAATAATACTTAAACATAAGATTAACCCTTAAACTCTCATGAGTGACCAAACCAGAATTTCCCTTACAATATCAATACAATATCAACCAGATAAGTGATGAGAATGGAGAAAAATATCAATATGGGGATAATTAGCTGATCCAATACTAAATTCTCTGAACTAACATTATAAGAGTTGTAAGGTTGTCAGTAAGGAGAATTACAAATTTGATCTGGGAGTTAAAGGGTTAAACAAACTGAAAAGATAAAAAATAAAAGACTGTCTGTTGGAAAACTCAGACAGATACTAAGATCAGCAAGATGAGTTTCTGGGAGGAGTGGGAGGGGAGCAAAATAGCTTCTAAGAATGCAAAAGTGGTTTATGTATATGTGCAAGCTGAGAAATAGAAAAACTGATCTTATTTACTTAGAACTGGTAATCACTAAAGTATCTATCACTGTTGCTGTACTTTCACTTAGAGTAGGAAACTTAACTATCAGGACAAGTATGCTGATGTTAAATTACTTGTCAGGGCGTGAAATTAATTTTTTTTACTGATAGCCACTTGGCTTCTAAATTTTCAAAGTGGTAGCCAATTCAAAATAAGTTGGTAGCCATTTTCAAAGACAAACAAAACCTTTTGTTTTTTTTACGCTGTCAGCGTGCTAGATAGACCCTCTAAAATAAGGTTAGGAAAAAGATCTTTCATATTACAAAGTGGACACTAGGAATGATGATATACAACTCTCAAGCTCACCTAAATCCAAGATGGTGTCTTGTTATTGATTGAGATGCATGTGCTGTGTTTTAACTTAATAAGGAAGTTTGCCGCGGATTTATCTTTGCAAATCTTTTTAATTCACTATATCTCCAGATAAGGCTATGATGAAGCATTCTAGGTGCCAATTTGGCGACTAATTTTCAGGATTTGGTCGCCAAAGTGAAAAATTTAGTCGAATTGGCACCCTGCTTGTACTATTAGTAGGTTAGCTTGATCACAAATATGTTGGAAGACTGTCTTGTGAACCAATTTACTCTGTCTTCAACCCTCTAACTCCCATGAGTGACCAAGACAGCTTTCTCCCTGCAAAATCAATACAATATCAACCAGATAAGTGATGAGAATAAAGAAAAATATCAATTTGGGGATGATTGGTTGATCCAATACTAAATTCTCTGAACTAACATCTATAAGAATTGTGATTGATAGTAAGGAGAATTACAAATTTGATTTGGAAGTTAAAAGGTGGAGGCAAATTACAAGTATGCTGATTTTAAATTAGTACTGAGTAGGCTAGCTTGATTACAGTTATGTTGGAAGACTGCTTGTGTACCAATTTAGTATGTTTGTTATTTAGAAGCATATCACCCAGAAGTAGGCGATTTTCCCCTTAAATTTAGAAAGTGTCACTTTTTTAACAATTGAGTTATTTTCATCCATGCCTCTGAGTACTTTGTACAGTTTTTTAATGGGGCTGAACTCAATTCTTGATAGGTTTAGAGTTTTATGTGATTTGTTAAGGCATTATTTGAGAAATTGCACCTACATGTAGTCTTCTGGTTGCTGAGGCATTTCTTCTTCCACTGGATGGGATGCTTCTCCATCCCAAAGTTACCCTCAGGAATTTTGTCAGCTTTCCCTGACAGATCTCTTGTACTTAATTGTACTCCTGGGTGGGAAGAGGCACTGTGAGAGGAAATTTCCAGCCTGAGAACACAACATTGACTTAGCTAAGATGTGAACTGGGACCTCTCCACCCCTAGTCCAGGGTGTTAACACTTAAGCCATCTCATCTGCTCATAATTATAGGGATCACATCAAGAATTTTATGATGAGATTTGCCTTTTGCTGATGCTGATGTACAGTGTATTGTTGGAAATATTGTCATACTTTGGTCTTAAGTTATTCAATGTATGTGATATTGGCTAAAACATTATTCTTCCTCACCTTGTTGTAATAGCTGGTTATCCATAGTTGTTATGAGATGGTTGATGTCACTCACTTTTCACCTCCACTGTGGTGAAAAATAATTCTTTAAAATTTAATGAGAGCTATAAAAGTTTGTGAGGAGACATTGACTGTTACAATTGCATGGCAAAGGTTTTACTGCACAAAGGAGGTACATTTATCTGCTATAGGCTAATACAACTTATATTTGGAGTTGCAAAAAGTGGCAGAATACAGTTCAAACAAAGAAACATGAATAACTATTCAGGGGTTTATTGTGCTACAAATGGTGTTGGTTTTCTTTTCCAGCTCTTAGATAAACAAGTCATTCTTGATTCTTATTAATAAAAGCAAAATATGTTTGCTATATGATAAATCAAGCTTTATTGATTAAGATGACTAGATGTAATGGCTCTGTAGTTCCCTTGTTGGGTTTTTGTGAAAAACCAAACAAAAGAACTCTGCCAATATTCAGCATGTTGACTAAATGAGTTGACGGTTTCAAACAATACAAAATGACACCCTAACTCAATGGATTCTACTTAAATTTTTTTCGCAGGTATCTCTGACCCCTTGGAGAAGGAGGCAATAGAAAAACGTCCACCTTGGAAGGCAAAAAAAAAAAAATTGGGGAACCATTAGAGCACTGCCTCCCACCACATCTACCTCTTTTATGGATCTTGATTTGTGTACAAGAGATGGGGGACAAATAGCTGATCAACAATGGAGTTGGATTTACCCATAAAGTGTCATTCTTGGTCTTGATCTGGTAGGCTAAGAGTCTGTCTGACAAAAAACAAAAGAGAAAAGTGTGAAAACTATTTTGGAACTTGGACTGTCTTGTTGCACTAGACAGATTTTGAACTTTGCAATGTGGAGTCAGCTTGACCCAGTAAGTCTTCTCGCAGTCTTGATCTGTGATGCTAGGACTTGGTCCTACAAAAAACAAGAAGAAGAGTGTGAAATAATTTTGGAAACTGGACTGTCTTGCTGTGCTGAATGGATCCTGACTTATGTATCAGAGATGGATGAGGAACAGCTGACCCACAATGTGGAGTCAGCTTCACCCATGAAGTCTCTTTGCAGTCTTGATCTGTAATGCTAAGACATGGTCCACTGAGAAAACAAGGAGAAGGGTGTGAAAACTATTTTGGAAACTGGACTGTCTTGCTGTGCTGAATGGATCTTGAACTGTGTACCAGAGACGGGTAACTAATCGCTGACCTACATTGTAGGTGGCCTCACCCATGAAATCTCTTCCTCAGTCTTGATCTGGGATGGTAAGACTTGGTCCGCCGAAAAAGGGAGAAGAGTGTGAAAATAATTTTTTTAACTTGTAAAGGAATCGAAACGCAACACGGTACCACATTTTAAAACGGGGCAAAAATAAACGGAAAAATACGGATGGAAAGCGCATCAGATTTTAGTATTTGTTGGTGACAAACAACACTGA